AGGGGTGAGGAATAAAATGGGGGTTGAATGTTCTTAGTCTAGTGCCTAACACATAGGTGCCAGGTGTTACATTTGTTATGATTATTACCTGTCCATGCCTGACACAGAGGGGTCTAATAAGTATTGTTTTAATGAAGGACTGAAGTTGTTTTCCAACCTCATCAGCCAACATTTACGCTGTACCATTTCTACCCCACCTGAACACATGCACACACACACTCTCACACTATACAAGAACATTCCATCATTTCCAAACACACCATGTGTTACAGGAAGAATCACAAATCAGCAAAAATAACAAAATTTAAAACTAAGGTAATTTTTAAAAGCTTTTGTTAATTCACATTTTTAATTAATGTCTATTCACAGGTGGCAAAGTGTTCCCATGGCAGTCATGGCCGTACCAGGATTTGAACTGATCTATTAACTCTAGAACCTCCACCTCAGCTATTACAGTTTACTGCCTAACTGCAAAGTCAAGATGCTAACTAGCTCACAGTTACATAGCACCTACTGCCTGACTTACAGATATGAACTCGGTCAATCTTCACAGCAATCCTATGAGGTCAGTTCTGCTTTTAACCCATGATAAGAATGAGGGAACTGAGGCCCAGAGAGGTTAGGCAGCTTACCTAAGGTTACACAGCTAGTAGGTGATGAGTTTGATATTTGAATCCACGTAATCTGGCTCTAGAGCATTCATTTTCAATGGGGAAAATATCACTCCAAGGGGACAACAATTTGTTCTTGGCAGAAAAATTTTACTTTTTATGCTTAAGAAGCATATATATAGTTCATAAATAGTATATTAGTCAGGGTTCTACAGAGAAATAGAATAGGATGTGTGTATACATTTATAAAAAGAGGTATTCATTATAAGGAATTGGCTCATACAATTATGAAGGCCGACAAGTCCAAAATCTTCAGGGTGGGCTGCAGGCTGGAGATCCAGTGTTCCAGTTTGAGTCTGGACACAGTCTACTGTAGAACCAGAAAGAGCTGCTCTTGCAGAGGAATCCACAAATGGTCTGCTGGAGAATTACCTATTGCTTGGACGAAGCTCATCTTTTTGTTCTATTAAGGCCTCCACATAAAAAACCCTAATTTCCTCTTTTTCTTTCACAGTTATCTTTAAGGCATTTTAAAACCAGAGCCCAAATGATTAGCAACCACAAACTACTTTTCGCTTGTTAGAGGGCAGGGAGGATCTGGTCATCAAACACTCCTCAGAAGTGAGGGGGAATGTTTGGTTTTCACCCTTGGAGGTTCACGTGCCTCCTATCCTAGAATGTGTCTGATCATTCTAAAGCAGTTGTCATTAAGTTTCTGTATTAAAATTGGCTGAATATTCATATCCTGCTACATTCTTTGTCTCAATTAATCTCTACGATAACCACATGAGGCAGGTCCTATTATAGGCCCCATTTTAAAGATGAGGCAACTCAGGCACAGAGAGGTTAAACAACTTGCAGGAGGTCACACAGCTAAAAGGTTGCCAAACTGGGTTTCTAGCCCAGGTCTTTTTGACTCAGAACCTGGGCCCTTACACAAGCACAGCAAACTCTAAGAGGCTCAGTGGTGACCTGGAGAGGAGTTAAGCCCAGGAATCACTTGCCCCTTCGTTGGGCTCCTTCCTGTCTTAGGGAATTTCCACTTGCAGCTCCTTCTGCCCAGAACAAGTTTCTCTCCCTCTTAACCTAATTAACCAGCCTTCAAAGCTGTCCTCAAAGGTTATTTCCTGAGGGATGCCTTCCTGGATAGCCAGAGTAGATTAAGTTCCCTTAGCATACACTCTTGGGGCACTCACACAATTATTAAATATTGGTTTATTTGGTGAGTGGCCTCCTTTTGAGTACGAACTCCATGAGGGGAGGGACCTTGGTGTGTTGCTCATCCCTGAATCCTCAGCACCGAGTCCAGT